TCACAAGATAGGCGATTGACGGAGCAAGCTCCATCTCAGCATCTTTTAACAGCCTTGCTGGAATTTTGTCAAGTCCAGCCGCCTTATTAACTTTCAAAGAATGCAAAATCCTTTGAACAGTCTTCTGTTCCACCCAGTCCCAGGTGGATTCGATATCATTCTGCTTATTTGCTTCTTTCACTGTTTCATATTTCTTCTATGCGTCCTTACTCACAGGGTTCAATCGACCAGCAACTTTGCTGCCAATGGCAGCAAAAAGCTTGTTGAATTTTGTTGCTACGCTTTTTGGCTCGGATACTAAACGTTTCCCGTCATGTACTTGAAGAGGAGAGCCCCCCTGATTATTAGAACCAATCACGGAAATGGCCCTGTCGCCATTTGAAATGTTGCTGTCACTTACTATTTCTTTCAGCCCAGCCCACCAACCCTTTGACTTTCTTCTGAAATATAGCAATAGAGGTGAACTTCTCTTTCGTATTCTACGAACTGCCCTCGACCGTACTTCAGTGTTTGTTTCTTCTCGCCGCCTTGTTGTATTTTGTCAAAAGCACAGCTGACTGATAATCTCTGAGATCCACATACAAACCCCCTCGCTTCTTGCTTTATCCGTCTAAATATTGTTTTTATTAAGGCTAAGATCCAGCATAGCGCACACAAAGCCACAACCACGCATTTGTAGATTAAGTAGATGAACAATGTCAGTGTAAACGCTGCAGGAACAAGAAACGCCACTGATGACAGAAAGGAAACAATTGCCGGTGTCAATAGTCCACACTGTAACACGAAAAGAACGATCAAGCCGGACAAGACTGATCTCAGTGTGAGCGCTGTCAGCGTGAGTACTGGAAGGAAACTTGTGAAAGCCAGCGAACTGTATAAACTCCATTTCCACGGTTTCTTGGCAACGATCTCCACTAGAAACCGGTGGTGATAACACAATCTTGTGCCAAAGCACAACCACACGAGACGCTAGCATTTATCCTCCTCGGTGATGACTGTCTGAATGTGTTTTCTTTTTGTAGTAATAATGTGATGTCATAGAGAGTATCTAACATAGATTTCCGCGCGCAGACGTTTGATAAAGAGAAACGAGATAATTATCGACCTAACTTGCCTGGATTTGCTAACTGGTTATGACCGTCAGCTTAAATTCCTGGTCAAACGGACTGTCAACTTGCGTCTACTTGCGACTCCTTTTGGCCAGGGCTTAAGACACAGTATTAGGCAAGGCCTTTCCTTAGGGAGGTCCTAGGTTGCCTAGTTTCCTGTACGGCTTTCTCCCAGGCCTTCGCGGTCAATCAATTTCTGAGACGTATCCTAGACGAACGGCCCGGAGTAAACCCGGAATACACGTTCGCTCCGGACCACGTGACCCAAAACAATTGACCGCGGCGAAATATTGTGGCCTAGGAACTAAGCAAAGACAGAGTGGTGTCTTGCTTGAATCCTCTGTCATACCTGTTTCAAATGTAACGGAGAGGATCTGGGACAATATCTGGTTCTACCGTGTGGTACTAAATTTTTGCGGGAGTTTCTTTTTGCAAATCAGCGATTTATTTATTTTGCGGGAACTAATTTTTGCGATTGCAAAAGACTGGTTTTTCTTGCTGGGTATTAATTTTTGCGATTTTCAAGAAGTTGCGTTTCGTGCAATTGAAAAGTGAAACAACTTGAAGAGATGTAAAACACAGTACATGTAATCCAGTAATCAGTGTCTCTATATCACGATGACATCGTCCTTTTGTGTGGGTGATAACAGCAACAGGATTGTGCTTGTGTTGTCTGTATGTATAATTTTGCCAGTAGAGTAAATTTTTGCGAGAACTTTTTTTTTGCGGATCGTTTTAAAAAAACGGCAAAAATCACAAAATCGAACCCGCACAGATTTAGTGTCACATTATAATTAGCATATATGATGTACCTAAAATGAGATCGCTGATAACCGCTGGTCACTTTTTCACTCGAATTACAAAATGGCGGAGTTTCAGCGGCTGGGAATCCGCAAGTTTCCCAAAGTTTCTAAAAGTCAAACAAGCGAAACGAGATATTGGAGAAAACTCAGCGTAAGAAGAGAATTTCTTTGTTTGTAAGTACTGATTAAAATAGAAAACATTGTTTTATCGTTGTTTTTTTTTGCAGTTTCCGATTGTTGTCAAAGAATATGGTGCTGTTAGCCACGTGGATTTCTGTCGTAACAAGCCACATGATTTTGTCGCTACTAGTTCATCCCGTGTAAGTGTTCCTCCGTTTTCTTCAGTTTGATACTTTCAGTAGAGCAATAAGTAAGAAGTTATTGTCATTTAATGAATATGCGTAAAAGAGTACGCACTGATGTAAGCACACAAGCTTATAATTAGACGGGCCCAGGCCGTTAGCGGCTGAGGCCTGTCTCATACTCAGAGCTGGTAATTTTAAGGTCATATTTTTTGGCTGCGTCAGCTGTATGGATCATCTTTCATAAGCCACGTCCTGACTTGATGGGTTTGAAAGTAAATTTCAAGATGATAGGCTTGAATGAAGGGATGAAAACTTAGAAGAATGGAGTAAATGTTTGTATGAAGTAACTAGACTGAGTGAAATACCATTCAGATCTAGAGAAACTTTTTGAGTGATCTCAAACTGGATTTGAAGCTACCAGCATGATTATTATCTTAATGACTTGAGGTTCAGTTACTAACAGGTCCTTTGCATCAATTGGTCACATGACCATTAATTTCTAAATGTTTAGCTACAGCTACAAGAATTTCAGAACTGGAAAGAGCATGTTTTAAAAAGTCAAAACACCAGTTTTCAGACCAATGCCATGCAAGGTTGAGATTTAAAAATTTTAAGGTTTTGTATGGAAGCGAGGAACTTTCACCCTCCAGAAACCTTTTCCTTATTAATCACTACTAAAGGAAGCTGCTTTAAGTTCTCAAATACACCATACTTGTGGTGTAAATTGTACGTCTACATAATGGTATTTCTTTAAAAAATCCTGTTTTCTTTCGGCTTGTTTAGCTATCAACTCCTTACAACCTAAACAAGATGGGGACAACATTACTGCATTTTTATGTTTTATTTTTTGGGGGGAGGAGATGGATAGTGTTACTCTTCCATTTGTACTTCTGTGGTAACATTTTTACATGTCTTGAACTGTATTCCTTCTTTAGCTTGAACTGGTCTAATTAAAGGCTTTTGTGCAAAAAGGGCATATATAGCATTTTGGGCCGATTTTTATTTTTTGCAGGATCGAGCTAATTTTTGGCAGACTGACTTGTTTGACATGAAAAGCATCGTTGCGTAATTGTTTTTGTTGATTTGCGCTTGATTTTCAGGAAATAACATATGCAAAAACACTCAGTTTTTCCGAGTGGCATCTTTTGGAGCGAATCCTTCGAGGGTAGATTTCGACACGACATGAACTTAGGCGGTTACTTTTGGCAACTTCGACAGCATGGTTTTTTTTAAATAGATGTTTTTATTTTTGAAAGAACTAGAAAGATAGACTGGAAAAAAAAATCGGCCAACTTCGTATCGAACCGGTATCACAACAGAACAAACTCGAATCCGACCTGTTCAGTGCCTTATTTGCTTGCGGTAATGAAACAACAATAAGAGAGTAGTGTAATTATACGAATAATAAAACTAGCGGTAAATGCCATGCTTCGGTGACTTCATCGCATAGCAAAACAAAAGGTTTCTTTTGTTTTTCGTTCAACAAAAGATCTCCAAAAGATACCCTTGGAAAACTGAGTTTTTTGCAGACGATATTTCTCGAAAACAAAACACAAATCAACAAAAACAATTGTGCAATGATGCTTTTCATGTCAAAACAAGCCAGTCCGCCAAAAAATAGCTCAATACTGCAAAAAATAAAAATCAATATCGGCCCAAGATGTAGTCAATACCATCACAAAATGCAGCCAATACCATCACAGCTAAACAGACCAATCAGTTTCAATGGACCAGACTTATAACGCCATCAACTGACAAACACTATTCACTTGAGTCTGAAGATGACTTCCACTCAGGTTGTCGAAATGTCAGTCACCAACAACACTTCTTTTCAGAACTACCCTCACCTGGACAATCACACCATACAAACTACTGATACTTCTGAGTTCAAACCATTTCCTTTGTTAAGCTTTCTAATGATATTTAGTTTGTTTTATTGAATCTGGTGTGCAAAAGACTTTTTTTTTTGGACTCAAAAAAAGTTAGCTGGTATATAAGATGGATGTCTATTAGAATGGATATTTCTGAAAGGCATGTACAGGTCTTAAAGTAGAAATGTTTCAATCTGTTTCAGATCCAGATTTACAGTTCCAATACACACCAAGTGAAAAAGTCATTTTCAAAGTTTAAGAACAAAGTTCACTGTGGCAGTTTTAGGAATGATGGACAGTTACTAATTGCAGGAATAGAGAATGGCTCAGTACAGGTATGTATCAAATAGATACTTTTAAGATTCCTTTTGATAACATAGAACTGTGATTGGTCTTAAAAACTGTTTGAAATCTAAACTAGTGAGAAGCTCTTGTAAACTTGTGTGTACAGTAGCTGTAAACCTTCTTTGTTGCCCCTTTTTGTTTTACAGCTTTTTGATGTCAACACACGCTCTGTTTTAAGAGAATTTAGGCAACACACTGGGTGAGCAATAAATAAACAAAGATCAAGTTTAAACATTGCATGTAATGAATATTTCACAGCAATTTAGATTGAGTACTGTGACAGCCTGTGACAGCAACTTTTTTATTTTTGCAGCACAAACTGTTTATATTTGCAGCACATTTAAAGCAATTGTAGCCAGTATCTTTATTATTATTATTATTATTATTATTATTATTATTATTATCGTCCTCATGTAATGTTATTATTATTATTATTATTATTATTATTATTATCATTATTATTGTATGTTTGTGGGAAATTATTTAAAATTGCAGCATGTCCCCTGTGGGCCGCTCTATGTTCTTGATGTGCAGATGGTGAAGGTGTCCAGTTACAGTTATCCAGTTACAAAAGTTGTCATATGACAAATAGGTGCACGGAGAACCAATCAGAATCGAGAATTTTATTATAGATACAATTACTATTTATTGTGTTCACAAAGTGTAACGCAACCCTAGTCCAATCTGTATCAAGATTTTATATAACAATATACTAATCAAGTACAATCTGATTATGTTGGTCTGAACATTAATATATGCATTGATATGGCAGTCTAGCAAAAACTCAATTTTCCATTCAATGTCATGCATCATACAGCTCCATACAAAAAAGTTAATGCAGTAACTTACATAATTTACGATCATCGGAAAAAAAGGGGTAAAACTAATGATCCATCAAAGTGTAAGTGGGGGAAAGAGTTGGAGACTGTTGTTAGCCACCGTAAGAACCCGAGTTGCTCACTGTAGCTTTCTCTATTGTGATCCACAGCTCTGTTCAGGTTACCAAGTTTTTGTTGGATAACTTGCATGCCATGTCTGGATCAGATGACAACTCTGTCATGTGTTGGGACATAGCAACAGGTCAAAATCTCATCACATTCAACGAACATCAGGTAAAGTTGCCAACTAGAAATTCCAGGAACACCTGTTGATCATCTTCCACACTGTGAGGCTCTTCTATTCTGTGGAAGCAAAAAATAGTTTTCCTTTGCCATACTCCAGTAAGAAAAATCTCTTTTCTTGGGGCATGTCATCTTTTTATACCATGGTCAGTGCTGCACAATCCAAACCAGTAATACAGAATATGCTCATGTTATTAACAGCATAATACCTAGTCTTTACCATACCAGTCCCATATTCACAATTAGTCAATCAGAAACCGTGTCTACTGCCCTGATATCCTGGAATGTCAAGTCACTGAGCTGATAATTATGACTATGATATCATGGTCACTTGGCCGAATTTGGATGCAGTAAATACCTAATCATGCCCCTTTTGGTACGCTTTGGCAGCATATCAGGCTTTTTGGTCTCGCCATGGTTATTTTGGCCCAGGTGCAATATTCCGGCCTGGTGTCATGTGTGGGTTGAGTTTGTTGTTGGTCCTCACCTTGCTCTGAGAGTTGCTTCTCCGGGTTCTCCAGTTTTCTCCCTCTACAAAAACTAACTTCTCCAATTTCCAATTTGACCAGGATAGGGGATCTGTATGAAAACCAGCTAAGGCTGATGTGGCTTCCTCTCTCAGTATTGTAATTTTATTTTATTTATTTGACAATGTCTCACCAAAATATGAACCATGGCTCGACCAAACTCGCCTGGTATGCCACTGCAGGGAACTATTAGGCATAATATTACACATGGCATGCTAAATATTGGTTTTTAATACTAAGTCTTGTAAAAGAGGAAGAAAAGTTACATTAGATTATATTACATGTTCTTAATATTAAATTGATTTTCTCTGTAGGATTATGTACGGTGTGGTGTTGTTAGCCAAACCAATAAAGACATCTTCATAACAGGTACTCCCACCTTTTTATCCTTTATTTGTCAATAGTACTTACTATGAGTTGTAACTTTATATGTGCGAGAGAGTGGTGCACTCTTGTTACCAGTGCCCTGTCCAAAGTTGACTGCCAAAATTCCAAGAAAGAAAGGCCTCTTTCTGTATTTGGTCACATAATTTGCATTCAAGGATATGGGTAACTCTTTTATTATCGTGATGGGTCATATCAGAATGAACTTGACTTTTTCACTGTTGATCAATAGGGCCAAAAAAAATATAACATGCTTTCAAGAGCATAACATAAAAAAGAAAACCGATTAAAATCTGTAATCCCAAAACCTATCAATAATGACCAGACCGGTTTCCTAAAAGGATGATTTATTGGAGAAAACATTAGATTGATAGATAGCATTATGAACTA